TTCCTTTACTTTTTATTTCAGCACTTTTGTTTATGCCAATGGTCTCTTATTAATGTTATCGCAGATTTCTTTGATATCATGGTCATGTTCTCTCAACCTCTTTTCTTCTTGTCAACTTTATTTTCAAGATTATATATTTTATCTTTGAGGCATGCAAATATGTATTCTAAGTGGTCTAATCTATTGATGATGCTTTTACCAAATTTTTAAATTTGATTTATTGAGTCTTTAATTTCCAGGATTTCAGCTGTTTTTTTTTTTTTTTTTTTTTTTAGAATCTCTGGGTCCTTACTGAAATGAACTTTCGCTTCCTCTATTTTGTTCATACCTTACATCTTCTTTTAGATCACTGAATAATTTCAATATGAGCTTTCTAAATTCTTTCTCTGACATTTCCTCCACAATAGTGTCAGTAGAATCAGGTTTTGTAGTGTTGTGAGCTATTTGGTGTGACTTTTGTTTCCTCAATTTTTCATATATTTTCATGTATTTTGTCTACCCATCTGATATGATGATTCTATCCTCTACTTTTGTGCAGTTTCTTTCTTCTGAGTGTCCCAGACTGGGCATATATCCAAGTATTGATACTCCTACTCAATATCAGTACCACTTTGAAAGAAAACTCTAAACCTATTAACTCTAATCACTTCAGACCAAAACCACATTCTATTGAACCTTGGAGGGAGGAAACACTTGGAAGATTCTTTCAAGATATAAAATTTTAGTATGTTATTGAATAGGTTAAGGAATTAATTATTAAATATTATAAAATTATTATTACACTGTGTAGGGATGAAAATGGTATGAGAAAAAGTAGGCAAAGGGGAAAATGACAAAAGAAAAGATAGAAAAGAAAAATATAAACAACCAGAAAAAGATAGATAATGGGTAGGTGGGATTAAGGGGCCAATGCAATAGAGAAAAGAAGAACTAAGGAACAAGTTTTAACATAAGCTAAGAAAACAAGGAGAGAATTATTTTGTTAATGCTTAAAACATTAGAAGAGATACAATTAATGTGGTTGAGGACCCAATTCAAATAATAGGGAACTATCCATTGATTCATTATGCAAAATAGTATATGTAGGATCAAAATTGACATTAGATCTGTTTATGATATTTTAAGCCAAGTGGATAATTTTCTTATTGCGTCCTCCTGGTTTAGATTTCTTTAGGATTTGGGATATTTGTAGGCTGCCCACCACTTTTGAGCTTTTTCTCTGTTTTCCTTGGTTTGGAGTAGTGATCACACAAGGTTACCTTTGATTCTAGGAGGGCCCCCTCTGACTGTTGGTGAATCCGGGTAGCTTATTGGTTTTCTGTTAGGTCAGAAGAGACAGTCTCTGATGGTCTGTGAATTAGCAGTCCAGTTTATTCCCTTTTAGGAGTTGTCATCCAGTGTGGGGCCCCCCATGTATATTTCAGAGTGTTCAGGGTATGGTGGTCTGAGGTAGATATTATAGTTAGTCTGTTTGATGTTGTACCTAACTGGACTGTGGTGGGATGATCTGCTGCCCTCCCTGGAGTACACAGTTACAGGTCTGTGGGCTTGTATCCAAGCACACTGGATATGTGTGGAATGCTTTTCTATAAGCTCCTTTGTGAGGATTACTGCCTTGTGTGTGCATGAAGCTTGGGGTCATCCTCAGGCATTGCCATTTGTGGATTCAGGTGCCTGAATGAGATTTGGATTAACTGGTAACTCTAGAATTTATAGCAAAAGGGATCCTCCTATCGTGCTGGATCACAGTAGCCACTTTCTTGGTTGCAGTAGTTTTCTCACCAGTGTGTTCTTGTTCATTATCCCAGGAGACCAAACTTGCACACTTGGAGGTGTTCTGCTGGCTCCTTCTGTTAGGAGAAAGGACACAGGATGTAGGCTGTCACTGAGTAGAGCTATGAGATGATGTGTGCCTGCTCCCCTCCAAAGGACCTTATTTAAAGTGGTATAGAGCTTGGTAACTGTCAGAAAGTGTGGTAACTATGATTCAGGGCTCTCTGTGGGTGGTCTGTGGCATAGAAATCTCTACCCTGGCTGATATAGATCACCAACATACCATTTCTGTCACTGGGGTATATTGTCATTTGGCCCATCAGGTCTGAGCTTCTTTGTTGGTGGTAGTTGTTAATCATTAGGTGCCTGTTCCCTTTCACTGGGACCTCTATGGAGCAGAACTATGTAAGTACTTGTTGGCTGTCTGCAACTTGTTGGGACCTGTTTTTGCAGATTCTCCATGGGCAGTCTGACCCAGAAATCTCCTGTGACATCAGCAGATCACTAGTGTTTTGTCCATCTCTATAAAGGGAATAGGGTATCCACTGGCTCACCTGATGGTCTGTGAATTAGCAGTCCAGTTTATTCCCTTTTAGGAGTTGTCATCCAGTGTGGGGCCCTACTGTCCACATTTGTAAATCACAGGCACCTGCTCCCTTCTGTTGAGATTTCTATGGAGTGGCACTATTTAACCACTTGGTGACTGTCTGCAACTGTGGAGTCTGAAGGTGCAGGCTCTCTGTGGGCCATCATGGCACAGAGGCTTTCACCCTAGTTGATATAGTTCAGCAGGGTTTTACCCATCACCATGATAGGGGTAGAATGTTAGCTGGATCTTTGCCTGAGCTCCTGTGTAGGCTTAGAGGGGCCCTGGATTAGGGCTTCACTCCCTGGTAGCGATTTGCTCTCAGGTCAGCTTCATATCAGGCCCCTTGTCCTTAGTGATGGGAAGGGGGTTTCAGTAACGTTTAGCTAATAGTTACCCCTCTACGGATTTCTTCTGGGTGGAATACTGAGACAACCCAATTCAGAGAGATTCCCTTGGGGCTTATTTGTTACTAACTGAAGGTGTGGAGAAGCTCTGTTGATTTAATTTCTTCTAGGGTGTCTGACTAGCTGTGGACTCTACAGAGTGGATGTCCTGCCTGGCATGGCTGTCAAACCACAATTTGGGGTGAAATTTGTGATCACCATCACTGTCTTTGCTGCTCCTGTCCTATTTTAACTTAGTCTGCTTTTATTTTCTGCATTTATAAGGAAGAAAACTTATGGGCTTTTCCTCTCCTTACTTCCCTCTTTGTTACCTTTACTCTCCCCCCACTATGGTCAGAGCTCAGAGTCAAGAAATTCTGTCCTTATTTTCTGCTCAGCAAATTCCAAGTCTCAAGCTGATCAACATCAGTTTTAGATCATTCACTCTGCCACCCACTTCTCTGGTCAACTGTTCTTTCACTGCTTCTTTTCTATGCTGTGGAAGGATCAAGGATTGCTGCCTAGATCTGCTTCATCATCTTCCATACATGTCTAATCACATTTTATTTATCCATTCACTTTTTGATGGAAACCTAGGCTGGTTTCAGAACTTGGCAATTGTGAATTTTGCTGCTTTACACATTGATATATGTGTATACTAAAACTATAATTTGCTGATTTTAATTTTTTTTGGATAAATATCAAAGATAGGATAGCTAGCTCATATGACACAAACATCAATTTAAAGTAGATGAAAGATTAGGAATTTGATCAAGAATGTTGCAACTGCTAGAAGAAAAAACAGAATCAATATTTCAAAATATTGACACAGGCCCCAAGTTACTTAATAAGACTCCTAAAGGTCAAGAAATAAATCCAAGAAACTACAAATATGATGATATCAACTTAAAAGGCTTCTGCACAGCAAAGGAAATGATTGTGAAGAAAAAGCCTAAAGAATGGGAGAAAATCTTTGCTAGTTACCCTTCCAACAGAATTAATATTCAGAATATGTAACAACTCATAACACTTAATACCAAAAGTCCAATAACTTCAATAAATGAATAAGTGATCTAAGCAGATATTTTTCAAGAGAAGAAATATAAATGACCAACAAATATATGAAAATGTGTTCAACATCTTTAGCAGTCAGGAACATGCAAATCAAAACTACACTGTGATTTCATTTTATTCCAGTTAAAGTGGCAATCATCAAGAATACAAATTAAAATAATTGTTGGTAAGGCTTTGAAAAGCCTATGGAGAGTCCTCAAAAAGTAGGAATGTGTTTCCTAAAGGTTATTTTGTTTTGTTTTTGTTTATGTTGTTTTGTTGTTGTTGTTTTTTTATACCAGGGATTGAACCCAGAGGCACTTACCCACTGAGCCATATCCCCATTCCTTTTTTTATTTTACTTTGAGATAGGGTCTCTTTATGTTGCTTAGGGTCTCACTAAATTGCTGAGGCTGGCTTTGAACATATGATCCTCCTACCTTAGCCTTGAGAGCTGATGGGTTTACAGACATGTGCCACCACACTCGGCTACTCCCTAAAGTTTTTTAATGCATTCTGTAGTTTGAGTCTACATATCATAAACTTATTTTGTTATGTTTATTCATAAGTATATCATTATTTGGGGGCTATTCAAATGGTTGTGTTTTCTTAGCTCCATTTTTAGGTGGTTAATTCAAAGTATATGGAAATACAATTAATGTTTACATGTTGATCTCTGTACTATAAACTTGCTGATGATTGTTTTATTCTTTATTACATTAATGTAGTGTATTATACTAATTGTTTTTACATGTTAAACCACATTTCCATTTCTGGATAAAGTATCCTTGGTCATAATGAATAATCAATTTTATATATTGTTGAATTTGATTTACTGATATCATACCTGATATTGGAATATAATTTTTTTGTAATTGTCTGCTGTAGTATCACATAAACTGGCCCCACAGAAAGGCTGGGATTAAGATTTGAATATCGGTGTTTTACCAAAATTCATGTTGAAATTTATTCTCCCTTCTGGGGGTGGTCAGAAATGGAACCTGTTTTAGTCAGCTTTTTTGCCACTATGACCAAAAGTCCTGACAAGAACAATGTAGAGCAGAAAATGTTAATTTAGTGCTCAGTTTCAGAGATCTCAATCCACAAAAGACCAACTCCATTGCTTTGGGATCAAGGTGAAGCAGAATATCATGGTGGGAAAATGAGGAGAAGGAAAGTAGCTCAGGACATGGCACCAGGAAGCAGAAAGAGACCTCTTACTTACCAAGGACAAAATATAAGCCTCAAAGCTATGGCCCCAGTGACCTACTTCCTCTAGCCATCTTCTACCTGCCTAGAATTACCAATAAATTAATCAATTTAAGTGGATTAACGTGCTGATTAAGTTAAGGCTCTCAAGACCTGGACATTTCACCTTGCATTGTCTTACATATGAGCTTTTGGGAGACCGCATATCTAAACCATAACAGCCTTTAGCAAGTGTTTAGGTGCCCTCATGAAAGAGTGTAGTGCATTGATAAAAGAAGTTTAAGAGAGCCGATGAGTTACTTGTTTTTCTTTATCTTTTCATTTGGGATTTCAACTTTCATCCTATTGAGATGTGAGGATCCTTCAAGAAGACTCCATTTTGAAAGCAGAGCCTGAACTCTTAATCAGACACTGAATCTTCTGGTATTTTGACCCTTGATGTCTCAACCTCCAGAACTGTGAGGAAAAATTTTATAACACTTAAAAATGATCTATTCTGTGGTATTTTGTTACAGCAGCATAAATGAACTAAGACAGCTACAAAGTGTTTTCTTTTTCGTGTGTTTTGTTTTAGAGTTTTTTTTAAAGTTTGTGAGTTACTAGTATGAATTTTTTTAATCATGAGAATAATTTACCAATGAAGTTATCTTGACCTTGGTAGATAATTGAATCCTAACAAAAATGCCCGATCTTGGAAGGGAATCCTGCAGAAGTTTCATCTTTGGCCACATCTATGTCTGGATTCTTCATTCAAAGAAACTGTGAAGTAATTTATGTTGCATTTTTTAAATGTAGTAAGTCTTGTGGTAATTTGTTATTGAGTAATAAATAATATATTTAAAAACTAAGTGTAAGTTGTATCTTAGAAGGGAAAAATGACATTGGTAGATGACTTGTAAAAATATGAACAAAGTCTGTAGTTCCATTAATAGTTTTGTATTTATACCACTGTCATTTTTTTCTTTTCACAAAGCTTCTATGGTTATATAAAATATTAATATAATGGGAAGATAAAATGTGTAGGAAACCCTTATGATCTACTCAATTTTTATAAACTTCAAATTATTTCAAATTTGTTTTTAAAAAGTATTACTTTTATATAAAAAAATTACATTAAAAAACCTTAGACCTCAGGAGATGAATGAACACATAGAGAGAGAAAAGCACAGTATATTCTCTTATCCACCTTCCAAATCTAGGTTTATTTGTGTCAGGAAGATACCATCAAGCTGTAAGGATGCTCCTTTTTTTCTTTCCTGTCATTCTCCCATTACCCAGTCACCAGTTTGAGTGCCAGTAACCACCTCTTCAGAGTTTCTATGACTCATTTCTCTCAGAAAGCCCCATATTCAGACATCATCAAGCAGTGCATCTGAAGGTTGTTATTGCAGCCTTTTGGGAAGTGATTTGTAGGCATTAGAGGCAAGGATTGAGAAATGTCAGGAATATGGAATATAAAACATAATTCTGAATTCAGAGGACTTCTTTTTGGTATGAAAATTCATTTTTCAAGTTTTCAGAAGACATCTGTACCTTAAAGCCATTGGGAAAATCTCTGTGATAATTCAGACTTTTTGTCATTCCAGCAGTTCATCGTGAGTTCTTTAAATCCCTATATTCTGTTGTTCATACTTTGCAGAATCATTGTACTCATTGCCTAGACAAAAATCCACAACATAGATACTGTCACAGTAACAGGTTAACTAGATAAAATTGTTTTTTAAATAAAAATGATGTTTGGCCAGTTATTGTTTACAGACCTGGAAGCAAGCCCTAAGGCATAAAATTTTTTACAGGAGAAGACAAGTTGAGGATTCAGATCTGTTGTGAACAGATTAAAAAAAAAAACATGGTAGAGACACACACACACACACACACACACACACACACACACACTATTCATGGTATAACACATCCCCAACACTCTAGCAGTGATCTAGAGATGGACACAGGTTGAATGAAGATTCTGCACATATACTAGATAAACAAAGACTACCCACTCACCTCACTTATCTCCCTGTGCACAGCCAGAGCTCTCGGCTGGGCAGTACCAGGGTTGCATCCTGGAACCATGTCTACCAAACCTGCAGAGCCATGGGACTGGACAATGCACTGCATAAACAGCCACAGAGTCAGTAGTCCTGTCTGTATGGTTATAATCATGGTATATACTCCACACAACACATTCATAGGTTCAGCAAAAAAAGTAGCTCATAAGGTCTGGAGACATATAATGGAAGATTCACTGATACATTTCTCACTTATGAGCTCATGAAAACACATTTTTTATTTTTTATTTTTATTAGTGTATTAGTTATCCATAATAACTAGTTTCATTTTGATAAAATTATGCATGCATGAAATTTAATTTACTCCATTTAAATCCCTTGTGCCCTCACTTTGCCTTCCCTCCTTCTTTCCCCTGTTCGCCTTCCTCTGTTCTACTCATCTTTCATTTATTTATTTATTTTATTTGGTTGTTGATTTATGAGTATGAAAAAAGGTGACATTCACATTTTTATACATGTGAATAACATAATTTTGTTACATCTTTTCTGTGTTTCCTCCCCTTTACTGTCCTTTTCCCCTCTCATGATCTTCTACTCCACTGATCTTCACTGTATCTTTATGACATACAGCCTCCCCATTTTTCCCTTATTTTTTTCCTCTAGCATCTGCACATAAGAGAAATATTCAATGTATAATTTTTCTAAATCTAGCTTATTTCATGTAGCATGCTGTCCTCCAGTTCCAAACATTTACCAGCAAATGTCATAATTTCATTCTTCTTTATGACTGAGTAAAACTCCATTGTGTATATAGATCACACTTTTTTGTCTATTAACTTATTGACAGACATCTGGACTAGTCCATAACCTGGCTACTGTAAATTGTGATATGACTCTATTGCTATAGTATGCTGTTACAAGTTTTGTTGTTTTTTTTTGTTTGTTTATTTGGATAAATACCAAAGAATGGGATAATTGGATCATATATTGGTTCCGTTTCTAGTTCTTGAGGAATCTCCATATTCTTTTCCAGAGTAGTTTTACTAATTTGTAGTCCCATCAACAATGTATCAATGTACCTTTTTCCCCACACTGTCACAAGCATTTATTATGATGATTTGTATTATTGATTATTAACATTCTGACTAGAGTGGGATGAAATCTTAGTGTAGTTTTAATTTGCATTTCTCTGATTGCTAGAGATGTTAAACAGTTTTTCATATATTTTTTGGCCATTTGTTTTTCTTCTTTTGAGAAATGTCTATTTAGGTTTTTTGCCCATTTATTCATTGGGTTATTTGAGGAAAATACATATTTAGTTACTGTATTTTGGGTATTTATAATTCAAGGACCCTTGATCTCACAAGTCCAGGCTTAGACTCAATTCTTTATACAGAATAGACACATTTAAATAACTCATTTTAAACCACAGAGCATTGTTCTATTCATTTAATTTGTCAGTTAGGGGTCGGGGTGGGTACCAGGGATTGAACTCAGGAGCAACTTGACCACTGAGACACATCCCCAGTCCTATTTTGTATTTTATTTAGAGATAGGGTGTCACTGAGTTGCTTAGTGCCTCACTTTTGCTGAGGCTGGCTTCAAACTCTCGGTCCTCCTAAGCCCCTGGGATAACAGGTGTGCACCATGGTGCCCAGCCTATTTATTTAATTTTAAATGGATATTTTATAACATCCTAGTGATTTATCTACTCTTTTTTCCTCTACATTTCAATGCATACATTATACCATGAATTACTCTATCATCCTTCAACATACACTTCCCCAACAATAAATAAAAGGTCCTTGGTAGAATGTAACATTAGTCACAGTAGATGTGAAGGAGTAACCCCCCTCAAAGTAGAAATGAGGTTCAATGAGCTGTAAGTGTGCTGCATTAGTTGAAGACAGTTTATAGGTACAAAACTACTAATGTGATGTCAGGGACCCCACAGTGTTGAGGACACAGTGTTGCACACCGAGTACCCCCAAAGGACTCTCTGATAGTACAAAACATGTGATTTCCTGATAGTTACTAAACCATTAAATTTCACAGAGGTTGGAGTCACACTGTGGCAAAGCAATGCAGCTCACACAGGTGAGAGGGTTACTGAGACAATTCAAGTATGATGTCTAGCTTACAATCTCCAGGAGTGAGATAAATTATGTAGATATCTGGATAGACCATATGGAGGAAGTGGGGAAAATGAGAGAACTAAAAATTGTCAACAGTCACTGAGTCATGCAACTGTTAGGAAGAAATTAAAACCCAATTCAAAGTTGCTATTAAGTCAACCCAAAATTATAAGAATAATCAACATATAAAGTAGCAATTCTTAATAGTCTACTAATAACTCCAGTATATCTAATAATTATGTAGAAGGTAAGTAGGATGGGTTAATTTATATAGGAAAGAAAAATGGTAAACACATAATTGTTTTGGATTGCAGAATCAGATTTGAAGTATAGATAGGGGTATTGTTCATATTTCTGATGTTATGGAAGAAATTCTGAAGATAACAGCTTTTTTTAATCTTGAGAAGTGCACACTAGAATTATACACTTCTAGCAAATAGTATGCCATTTCTACCTTGTTTCTCAATGGATTATTGGAAACATTTTATAAAATTACCTATTTATATATAAAACAAAAATTTCTGCAGTGTATAAGTGACTCTAAAATTTCTAATAGCTATTTAGAATATTATATGATGATACAAAGCAATTGTTATTTCACACTGAGAAATGGAAAGTCAGAGAGAAAAATAATTTATTCCACTATGCTAGGGTATCTATTTTCACATTTTTCAACTAGAATTGCAACTTTCAAGTAGAGTTGCAAAACTGGTATTGTGAAAATGAAATTTCCAGAAGGCAGTCAAAATGTGATTAACCTGGTGTGTAACCTGCATGCCTCCTGTACAAGTATAGGTGCTCCAATGGACATGGTTCCCATCCTCTGACCAGGCCTGCCAAGGGCAGGACTTCAGTGAATACAACTAATCTCAGAGACTGTAAGTGAGGTTAGAAATTTCAGTTCTCTTCTGTCAAAATCAAGTTTGTCCAAAAATCATTATTCTTCTTTGGGATGTAGTACTGCTTTAAGCCTTGCCTTATGATATTTGCTTCTAATATTTACATGCAAATATCTTTAATATTTACATATGATTGTATTATATACTAATGTCTTTCCACTTACGTTTTAAAAATATATTCATAATTATTTTACCAAAATGTTTTTAATTATTATTTTGATATTTTAAAGTATCTTTCCCAAATTGAATATGAATAATACTTATTAGGAAAGGAAAATATTATACATTCTCTGTTTTTGTATTTTCCAGAAATTTCCTCTACAGTTCCCTGGGTAGAATGAAGAATGATAGGGAATTTCTGGGATTCATGAGAAAAAATTGTTCAGTATCTCATGCTTTAAAAACTAGAGAAGTTTTTATTTAATTTATATATAACAGCAGAATGCATTACAATTCTTATTACATATATAGAGCTCAATTTTTCATATCTATGTCTGTATACATAGTATATTCACACCAATTCGTGTCCTCATATATGTACATTCAACCATCAAGATTTAACCCCATTATTCGGGGTTAAAACACAAAATTTCAACACATTTAGTTTTTAAATCTAATTGTGCCTTATTCATAACTCATAAATTCAGCAGCATCTCTTTTTTTAAATATTTATTTTTTTAAATATTTATTTTTTAGTTACGTAATGCAAAGGATCGAACCCAG